TTGGATACAGGTGGACTGAAGGTGGATAACGGTTTCATCCACGGTGATAGTGGAGTCGTTATCGGTGATGCGAAAGAGAAAGCCGAGGGTAGAAACGGGCGCGTGGGTAAGAGAGGCAACGTGTGCCACTCGTTTGCAGGATAGGATGCCGTGGCGATGCGATGGTGGTGAACGCGCCCGGACATCGATACAGCTCTACCGCCACTCTGCTCCTGATCCACTCTGACCCTTTCTGATCCCCGGCACCCCGTTGCACACTCACGCACACCACCGACGACCGCGCTCTCCCTCCCTGGTACACTCGTTCGCGTACCATTAGCTTCAAGAACGGAACAAACCTCCTGTCTTGCTCGCCCTCTGCTGCGTCCTCCCTTATCTTTGGTCCCCGCGACGACGTCCTACCTTGTCGCACGCGGGTGCGCGAGTGCGCGTGCCAAGCAACCGTTCGTCCAGATTCCCTCTCGCTTCCGCTCTGACCGCTCGGACTGCTCTCGTCCGCCGCCGCTTTATCGCCACCGGCCACTGCATGCTCGCACGGGCTTCTTCAAGGATTATGTATCATTCTGTAACTCTTATTAACCGTTAATTATGCGTGTTGTGCAACCCCAAAAAGATCCTAGTCGGTTAAATTCTTTTAATCCCGTTTAAGGATACGTAGATTTTGAATAAGAAATTGCTTACTACATCTATATTTACGTACGCGTTCTGTATTTGTAAATCCGAGGAGAATTCCTATGATGAGAAAAAGTGTTTGAAAACGTAAAAGATAATGTAATCAAATACATGATACGGCTAAATGAGGATTAAACGAAATGAATTAATGAAATTTAGCTCGGTAGAATGATCAGGGATAATTGTCGTTTTCAACTCCGTTCGTTCCGCGAGGATTTTTTCGAAAAATTTCCTTTGTGTTCATTTATAAACCAGTGGTCTCTCGACTGAACGGTGGATACCCGGGAACGAACACACGTTACTCTGAAAGCAATCAGCGCGCGGACAGCCGCACGTAATTGCCAAACGAATTTACAACGCGTGGAGCAACCGAATGTTTATGTAAATATGATATACCGTAACACGAAAAATGTATTTAAAAAAATATGACATGCGTTGTCACCGCCGATGATCTGTGTTCGTCCCTAGTTTAAAAAGGACTTCGTCTGATATTTGTGAAAAAAAAAATATAGTCAATTGTGCATTTATACAGCAAGGACATGTTTGCTTTGCGTGTTAACGGACTTGGATGACTTTTAAAAACCGTTTTCCAATTATTTTCGTTCATATCTCGGCTTCCTCTCGTGAACGTGTCTCGGAATAATTCGAACATAATAAATTTATAGAGAAGCGCTTGCGTCAGAGGTAAATCCGACTCGATAATCCCATTGTTTAATTCTCTTTTTGTGTGTCGTCCGGGAATACAATATAATCGCGCTTCGCTGCTCTGCCGCCGCGCCGGTTAACTCTAAAGCATCGTTATCATGTAACTCCGCGAAAGCATGGATTTTCTATCCTCTGATCGTTTAATATCCCTCAACGGCCTCCATAACTGGCATTCGTGGCTTATTGTTCAGGATAAACAACCGATCTACCGTGGTTTCGACGTAAGCTTCGATAATACGATCCGCCGACTTTGTACGTCAACTCGTTAAGCCGCATTAAGAGGATCCAGCAATACCTACACACTATTCCGAAACCACCTTTACTTTTCACCTTTATACGGTCACGGAAACTCCCATATTACCGTCTTCAAATATGAATACACCGCCTCACCTTGGTAATCCAAGAAATATCAGAATCATAAATCAATAAAATTTGTTAGATAAAAATTGAAAGAAAATACTAATAATTTTATAGCAAGGAAACTTTGAATCAAAAATAAAATGTAATTGCAAAGATTATTTGTGAACAGCGATGATTGTATATCAACAAGAATATAAAACGAATGTAAAAAAATAAGCAAACGAAGCATGACACTCTTGCTTCTTCGCTTATTTAGTGATAACAAAACTATAGATGTTATGTAGAATCGAACATCAACAAAAGCGAAACGACTGCTGCGTACATCTATTTGTTCGTTTCTGTCCATTTGCATTCGTTTGTCTGTACTATATTCGTTCGTTCGATATATTCTATGCCAGATTTTATCGAATTTTCAAGCTAAAATAACATTCAAACACGGCCCCACATCCCACGTACCATAACTGAGATTTTGCAAACAACAATTCGTTGTTTTTTTAATTTTTTAACATGGAATTTAAAGGAGCTCGAGGCTACATTCGATAAAAAAAAACTTGCACTGGGTTATTAAACGAGAAAATATTGCTGAAATCAATTGCGAGTAATTAAATTTTGGACATACTGAATAATCTTCTGCGACACTCAATTTGTGATTTCAATTTCCATATGCAACAGATAGAAATATCAAGTTTCAGACTTTGGGCAAACAATGAACAATTTGAAAAAGATATGAAATACAAGTGCAAAAAGCTGTTTCTAAAAGCGTTCAGCACCCAACTTTCTTAAATTTCGCATGTATGTTCGATGCCGATGACTTTTCCATCAGTTATTTCGGGACGTGAATCGTGTACGTTCGGTAAGTAAGCAGAGTAAATCGTTCGAGTAAGCAATGATAAGGATTAAACTGCCGGGGAAGAAATTGTCATTGTATCAATTACAAATTGTCCGTATATTTGACTTTACTAATAGTAATAATAGTAGTAATCTTAATCATTGTAATGATAATATACCGCATGGTGATGGTCATAAATGACGTACGGATAGATAGTATAATCGCAACAATAATGCAATTATATAAACTATAGCAGTAATAATTATTATATTAATAAAAAAAAATCATCACTACCATCTTTGGGAAACAATGTGCAAGATGATAAAAAGTAAAAAGCAAATGGATGGAACGTAGAATCAACTAAAGGAACCGAAAGTGACGAAGGAATAAGAGAATAATGTTTTCTTTTTTACACGATAAAAATTATACTCGCGTTATCCATTTTAAGGTAGCAATATTATTGTTGTAATAATATTGGAATCCCTATTACTCCGTACATGACCGTCCATACGTGTGTAGCATTCACTAAAAACACTATTCCTCTTGCATACAAGCGCGCGCGCAAAATGATTTATCACTCCCCGTTCCTTTCTTTCCACCCTATAATAGAAACTTGTTTTTCCTTCTTCTCTCGTTCGCATAAAACAGTCTTTCGTTGCACTAGCTAGATGTCCTCCTCTTTGCACCCTATCTGCTACGAATTCTCTAAACATGTATACTTATATCTCGACTCGAATTACAGCTACGAGAAAATCGTAAAAAAGTGTTTCGAATCGCGTTCGAAATAAATATGACATATTTATCGTAAGCATATATGTCACACGTCATATATTTATTTATATACAAATAAATAAATGAGTGTACGATTTCACCAATCCGAAACTTGCCCACCCCGACACGTAATCCTCCCCTCGTAAGATAAAAGGAATTTACATTTTTAAACTTGTATAACATATTTGTGCACGATTTATATAATATCTAATTAATTAATGAACTGCGGGTGAATAATTCGTATACTATCGGGCGAATAAGAAGCAAAAAAAGAGTCCGTTCACATTTTATTTCTGTTATTCCTTGCATAAAACTGATCGGGTTCCCAGGATCGTTATCATTTAATGACTATACTCGTGCGAACCTTTCTCGCAAAGAGGAGAGTGCAAGTTAAGCATAAGCAGTGTATTAATAAACCTTAAAAAGAAGATAATAATAAAAACAGAGAAATGTTTCTTTGCACCTTATCACTTTACGTCTTAAAAAATCGCTAACATAGTAACGCTAAATTATTGTAAAAAATGCAATTTGTCCAACGCTACCGTTGTTATTAGCGTCGTCATTTTGGCCACTTACAATTATATTGCAGAAACAGGATATACAAATTTCACGATCGCTACAAACTATACAGTTAATAACATTAGTCATTATTTTCCTTACTCCTAATTTTAGTCAGAACGTTTTAGTTCCATCGCTATTCCTTTATTACTTTATTGTTAAAAACGCACTGTATTTCACTTGAAAGGTGTTCACTTAATATAATTCGATGCGATGATGGTACGCTATTTTACGCCACAGGAGCGATACTTTCGAACCGAATAACATTGCGTCAATTGTATGATATAATATACCTTTATAATAAATGGAAAAGAATTACGTTTAAACGAAAATAACTTTAAGAAAACATACCTTGCATGCGCCCCATCTTCGACCTTTACTCTTGCGCGCGCGTCCATCTTCTCTGGTTCTCTCTGCCACTTTTTCTCTCTCACACACACTCACTCTCTCTCTCTCTCTCTCGGTAAATCAC